TCGGAGWCGACGACGGCCATGGTAGACTTCATCATGGTGTGCTGCCCCTCCTCTTACAATGTGATCCTCTGCACGCCGACCCTTAATGCCATGTAGGCCGTAATCTCAACATACCACCTCGCCATGAAAGCGGGGACTAGAAAATAACGTGACATTGTTATCAGTTATCTTGCCAAGGACCACGTCCAGTGACCGAGACATTGATGGCGGACGCATATGACTTGCATGACAAAGTAAAGGCGCAGCGCGGCCGACCCGTGGAAGACCTCGTCCAGGTCCCCCTATTTGAGGAAGACCCCGAAAAGACGATCCAAGTTGGCTCTCTGCTAGGTGACCACTTCCGAGAGGAACTTGATCGACAACTGAGGAATAATGTTGACATGTTTGTTTGGTCGGAAGAGGACATGCCTGGAATCGATCCCGAAGTTATCACACATCGGCTAAACGTCGACCCCTGTTACCGACCTATGAAGCAAAAGAAGAGAAACTTTACCTCAGAGCGGTGGCAAGTGATCGCCAAGGAAGTACATAAGTTGCTCAACGTCGGCTTCATTAGGGAAGTCAAATACCTCGATTGGCTGGCCAATGTAGTGATGGTGAACAAGGCTAACAGAAAGTGGAGGATCTGCACCGACTTCACCAACCTAAATAAGGCCTATCCCAAAGACAACTTCCCCCTTCCTCAGATCAACCAGCTCATCGATGCAACAACATGACATGAACTCCTAAGCTTAATGGATGCCTTCTCAGGCTACAATTAGATCCAGATGGACCCGTACGATCAAGAGCGAACGGCCTTTATCACTGACCATGCCCTGTACTGTTATAAGGTAATGCTTTTTGACCTAAAAAACGCCGGCGCTACCTATCAGYAGCTGGTGAACGAGGTATTCAAAGAGCAGCTCGGTAGGAACGTGGAGGCGTATGTCGACGATATGCTTGTGAAGAGCAAATAGTCCAAACACCACCTGGCCGACCTCCGCGAAGTCTTCGACACACTTAAAAAGTATAAGATGAAGTTAAACCCGACCAAGTGCACGTTCGGGGTTGGCTCCGACAAGTTTCTGGGTTTATGGTAACATAGAGAGGAATCAAAGCAAATCCGGAAAAGATAAAAGCCATTCTTGACATGCCATCCCCCTAGACCCACAAAGAAGTGCAATGACTCACCGGAAGAATGGCCGCCCTTGGCAGGTTTATGTCTAAGTCCGTGGACCGGTGCCTCCCCTTTTTCAAAGCTCTTAAATGGCCAAAGGACTTCCATTGGACAGAAAAGTGTGAGCAGTCTTTCTAGGAACTAAAGTAGTACCTGAGCTCGTCGCCCCTTCTGACTAAGCCGAACCCAGGGGACGAACTATTGCCCTACCTCTCAGCCGGGGATGAGGTCGTTAGCTCAGTATTGGTCAAAGAAGAGGATCGAGTACAGAGGCCGATCTACTACACCAGCAAGGTCCTCAGCGGCGCAGAGACCCGATACTCCAATCTCGAAAAGTTGGCTCTGGCCCTCGTCACCGCAGCCAGAAAACTTAGACCCTACTTCTAGGCCCACAGCGTGCGAGTACTCACCAGCCAGCCCCTTAAGCAGGTGCTACAGAGACTGAAAGTGTTGGGATGCCTAGTCAAGTGGAGCATAGAGCTGAGCGAATTCGACATCAAGTGCGCTTCCCAGCCAGCGATCAAAGTCCAGGCCTTGTCTGGCTTCATTGTTGAATGCACATTTACTGTGGAGGAACCGGCCCCACTGCCCCTGGCGTGGACCCTCCATGTTGATGGCTCATCGAACCAGCAGGGCAGCGACGCCGGCCTTATCCTCCTCGGCCCTGACGATGTAGTGTTGGAGCACACCCTCAGATTCGAATTCAAAGCGTCCAACAATGAGGCAGAGTATGGGGCCCTGATTGCTGGGCTCTGCCTTGCTTTAGACCTCGGGGTACGATGGATCAAGGCCTTCAACGACTCTTAGCTCGTTGTCAACCAAATCCACAACCAGTTCGAAGCTCGTACTCCCTCTATGGCGAGCTACCTATAGAAGGTGTAGGAGATCATTCAACAGCTCGAGCACTTCGACATCCAGCAGATCCCTCGAGCTGAGAATGCTTGAGTCGACGCCCTTTCATTGCTTGCCAGCTCGCCACAGGCCGACCTTGACTCAACTGTCCGGCTAGACACGCTGGCCTAGCCGAGCATTGCACCATCAGCTGCTCTCATCCTTCTAGTAAAACATGGCTCATCTTGTATGGATCCCATAATCGAGTATCTTCGAGAGGGCACCTCGTCGGAGGATCGGGCAGAAGCAAGAAGACTCCAACACAGAGCAACCAGGTATTGCCTGATACAGGGTCAACTGTACTGTCGTTCCCACACGCTTCCCTACTTGAGGTACCTCCCCCCCAAGTCGAGGCAAACTACTTCCTTAGGGAAATACATGAGGGCATTTGCGGAGATCACCCCGGTGCATGCACACTAGCCCTTAAGGAGCTCCGACAGGGGTATTTTTGGCCGACGATGAAGCAGGACGTTGCCCAGCTAGTCTAGAAGTGCGATAGTTGCCAACGTCACTCTAATCTACATCACCAGCCTGGGGCCCCTTTGAGACCGATCGCCAACCCATGGTCGTTTGCCCAATGGGGAATGGACATCCTCGGCCCCTTCCCCACCGTGGTTGCACAGAAGAAGTTCCTTCTCGTAGCAGTGGACTACTTCACAAAGTGGGTAGAAGCTGAACCCCTAGCGCGCATCACCACCCACAATGCCCAGAACTTCCTTTAGCAGGAATCATCCGCTGCTTCTGTATCCCGCGCGTGCTCATCACAGACAATGGAACACAGTTCACCAACGAGAAGTTCGAGGCCCTATGTGCCGACCTACGGATCAATCACCGGACTACCGTTGTACACTGACTTTAGAGCAACGGGCAGACCAAAGTAACCAACCGCATCCTACTACACAGCCTGAAAACACGCCTAGATCAAGTCAAGGAAAGGTGGGTTGAGGAGCTCCCGAGCATTCTCTGGGCTTACAAGACGACCCCGCGAACTACCACTGGAAAGACCCCTTTCAGTCTGACCTACGGGGCTGAGGCCATGATCCCCGTCGAGATAGGTTCCCCAACCCTTCGGACTGAGCTCTTTGACGAGGGACAAAATGATGAAGATCTACGCGCGGAGTTGGACCTAGTAGAAGAAGCTCGAGACCAGGCACATGTGAAGATGGTTGTACAACGACAGAAGATGGCACGACATTACGATTCTAAGGTAAGGAGATGCGAATTCAAGACAAGCGATTTTGTTCTATGCAAAGTCATAGTCCCCACACTAGGAGAAGGGAAGCTTGGACCAAATTGGGAAGGGCCGTATAGGGTCACTAGAGTCCTCGGACCAGGTACTTATAGACTTGAAGACCTTGAGGGTCGACCAATACCGAGGAGTTGGAACTCGGGAAACCTCAGGATGTACTATCAGTAGACCCACAAGCAATAAAAGTCTCCTTTTAAGCTACTTCATCGACCCAGAGGCACGCCCACGACCACCGCACACACTACACACACACATGCTAAGTTGCACTGCCAAATGAGTTGACTCTGCCGATCCCCAAACGGTTGAGCCCATTGTGCCTATCTCGACAGCACATGGCTAAGCAAGCTACCTGATTCAACTGCCAACGGCTGAGCCTAAACGTGGAGGAAGAACGCCCCCACCCACTAAGGCCTGAGGGCGGTCGAGGAACTCCGCACTGCCGCCGACTTAACGGCTGAGCTAGCTGGGAAACGGTTAGCCCTAGAAGGGCCCCAAAGGCTCCCAAGACCAGAAACTAAGCGTTCCATGGCTGAGAGCTCGGAAACTGAAAGATCTCGGGCAATGGTAACCTCAGTCAACACAAGACTGGGGACGTCGTGGTGTAGCCCAGGTTTGAGAACCAAAAGATCTCGGACAACGKTAACCTCGATCAACGCATGACTGGGGACGTCGAGGCATAGCCCGATCAGCTACACCTCGGCCAATGGTAACCTCGGTCAACACAGGACTGGGGAAGGCGAAGCATAGCCCGGTTGGCTATGCCTCGACCAATGGTAACCTTGGTCATACCCATCCAACCTCTCCGAAACACCCAAATATCTAAAAAGCCAAACTTTCCCCTTGAGAACCCTCAGATCCACCGTAAAACCTGCCCGRTGCCAATCCGATGGCCCCAATTGACCCTCACTTATACATCAACCATTAGATCAGACACAACCACCAGACCCAGGACCTCCCAAAACACCTACCCATTAAGTTTGAATCAAGATTCCTTCGTTCACCCATCCATCAAACAAAGATTCTATTTCAACCTCTATTGTACCCACAACCCATATCCACTTGATCCGAACACATCTAAACCAATCAAGCCTTGTCAATCACCCCAGAATGCTAGAAAACCCCTACATATGAAATTTTATCCCGAAACACCTCCATTTACTATCAATCGCACCAAGATTCCATTTTAAAGTTTCAGATTGACTAGATTACAAATCTTTCCAATCCGGGCCTAGTTGGCTCAATCTAACCTTACCAATCACCTCAGAACACCCACCTTATTTGCCCCTCGATCACACAAAGATTCTGTTTTGAGGCCCCTAGATTAACCGAATTGAACCCTTTCTAGATCTGCCCAATCCGGACCTATTTGGGCCAATCCAGCACTACCGATAAACTTAGAATGTCTAGAACCCCACCCTGTAAAATTTCAGTAAAAAATACCCCCCGTTTACCCATCTGTCTAGAAAAATTCCGTTACGGTGAATCTTGTTAGCCCATTCACACAAAGCCCTTCTCTGCTGTTAGACCCAACTCAACCCTTCATCTTTTGACCCAGAACCACCCATCACTGAACCAAAACCCCGGTCCGACCCCTGGACTAATTGTGACCCAAAGTTACAAAATTACAAATTTACCCCTGAACATCACTGAACTTACAAAAACACCCCCGACACTCGTTAAAAAGGGGCCGATTCATTCATTTCGTTCTGATCCGAAGATTTCGAAGGAGACAGTATTCACCATCATCTTCGTTCGAAAAGAGGCGGAGCGGCGGCGACCCCTCCCTTCGTCTCCGGGCAGCAGCGGCGGCAACCTTGTCCAGCTCCGGCGTATCATCTCCCCACCTCCGATCTGTCTTTCTCTCTCACTCTCTTTCTTTCTATTTTCTTCTTCTTCCTCTTCATTTTCTCCTTCTTCTAATCTGGTTTTTTACGAAGAAGGCTTAATTCAACGCCGACTGTTCATCGTCTTCCCCGATTGAACAGCGGCGAACATTTTTTCCCCCTCTCTCAGTAGTCACTCTCTCTCTCTCTCTCTCTCTTTGACATTTTCTTTCTTCATTCTTGCCTTTCCTTCATTTCCGCCACTACCACCTCAGTCTCCAGCTCCTCCTTTTCGTTAGAACCCCAACCGCATCCCCTGCTTTCTTTTTCTTTCTGTCATGGTCGCCGGTCGAACAGAATCGTCAAATAGCATTGGCAGCTCAAATGTTTCGGCATTCCTTTGTTTTGAACGTGATATGCATCCGAAATAGCGTCGTCCTTTGCTAATCTCTCAGTTGCAGTCCTCTATCACCACTTCTGCCATTTATGAAATTAAGCAGCCTAGGAAGAACTAACTGAAATCCCTCTGTTGCAGCGTCCGGTTTCAGGCCGAAATCCTCAGCCAGGTAAGTGCTATAATCGTATTTTCAATTTTTTTTTTTTTTTGCTTCCGGGTGATTATCTTTGCTAGTTTATTCTGTTTTAGTTTTTTTTTTTTCTTTTCTTTCCTTTTTCTGCCCGGATTAGATCATATTGAGCATAAAGCCAATAGGTTTTGATTGTTAAGATAGAGTCGTTCTTCTCTCATTCAGTCTATTAACCTGTTATCAGTTTTGTTTATTTCTGTTTCATTAATTGCTAATTGTTGATTAGTTCAGATTATGCATTCCTTGTTTCAATTTGTTTTAGTGTAGATTAAGTAATCCTCACCTTGTTTTGTTGATTTAAATAGTTCGAATTAAACCATTCGCAGATAAAAGAAATGTTATATCAGTAGGAGTAGGGGTTGATGACAAGAGAGTAACAAATCAGAGGTGATTGAACATGTTTGCATATTAGACTGAATGCAGGGGGATGTCGGTTACAGTAAGCAGCATAGTTCTGAAGCAAAAAGCAAAAGGAAATAACAATAATAACAATGGACAATAAATTATTTAGAAAAATGATGAAAATGTGATTATGGGTTTTAATCTATGAAACCGAATGGCTAGGTCGGTAGATAAAATATATTGGCGAGTTTGGGAAGGTCAAAGGAGAAAAGATATGCTAGTGATCAATTAGATAATAAATATGCAATTAGTGCACCGTGAGAGGATAGCAAAAAAAAAAGAAAGAAAGGAAATAAAAAAGAAAAAAAGCGACAAAAAATATAGCAATAAAAATAAACATAAAAATAGATGAATAAAAATAGACAAAATTTGCTTTTAGTATAGCTATTCTTGAGGTTTACTTTTGTTTAATTAATTGTTATTTGTGCTTGTTTGGTATCCCATGTGGGCCCCACCTATCAGACCTGGGAGAGGGGTGCCTAACCCCTTCCCTCTCCCATCCGAGTCTTACCTGGACTGGTTCGCTGGTGCCTCGGGCTTTGGAGTCATTATTTGATAAAAACAATTTTTGATACCATTCTTGGAGGTCCCATCACCTCCATTTCCTAATATGATGGGTGGTGACTCCATTTCCAGCCCAAGTGGCAAGTGAGCCGTTTTCTGATGCTCACAAGGAGTCAGAGTAATTACCTATGAAATAACCTTTATAGTCCAATATGTTGCCCAAATGGTTTCTAGCCTCCACCACATTTATAGTTTGTGGCCAAGTTGTGAGATTCCCATGCCGCCCAAGCCTCCACTGCATTTATAGTAGAATTACCTACAAAATAATCTCTATAGTTCACTACGTTGCCCAAATGGTTTCTAGCCATAACAGCAACAGTACAACTACCATTTTTAGTACAAGAAGCATCGAAATTAATTTTAATTTTACCCAAATTCGGGGGGACCCAATAAATATTCTTCATCTTCCTCATTTCTTTGCTAATATTCTGATTTTCATTGTGAAACCTAAACTCCTCGAAAGATTTAAACGCTCTCTCAAGAATAGTTTGGGGGGGGGGTCCTCTTTATGTTGAAAGTCTTTTGATTTCTGTTCTTCCATATATGCCAATACATGCACATTTCTCCTTAAGTTGGTTTCTTTCAATCACATCAATTCCATGCACTTCTGTCCACCACTCCGTAATACCCATATTATCCCCATTTAAGTTGGCAATGTTAAGACCTGAAATATCCCAAATCTGTTTTGTTGAAGCACAATCAAAGAAAATGTGGTTGATGTCCTCTAGGGAACCACATCTACTACAATTTTCATCGATATCAAGACCCCTCCTTCTTAGGAGGGCCTTCGATGGAAGTCTATCATTTAAGAGGAGATACATGAAAAACTTTAATTTTTGAGGACTTTTTAACTTCCAAATAGTCAAGTTCCAATTCAGCGGGTTCACCTGATTGCAGTCAGCCCCACATTTGAGATTATATGCCGACTTTAAGGTGAAAATCCCCTTTAGGTTTGTGCTCCAAACTAATTTATCTTCCTTATTGCCCATAGGAATAAAGATTGATTTAATTTTATTCCAAATATCTATCTGAACCAAACTCCAAATCTCATTCTCTTTCCAAATTCCTCTCTCTTTATCAATGAAATCACTTACTAGGGCACTTTCTTGAATTTCTTACGAAGGGGAAAAAGAATCTACTAAAGAGCATCTACTAACCCAACTATCCAAATTTTGACAGATTCCCCGTTACCAACGACCCACTTAAGATCCATTCTCAAGAGTTCTCGGGCACCTAAAATGCCTCTCTACGTCCAAGAAACTCCCTTTCTTTTCTTAGCTTCCCATAGATTTCCTTTCCTTAAATACTTCCCTCTAACAATTTTATCCCAAAGATTATCCTCCTGAGTAATTATCTTCCAACCTAACTTAGCAGGACTTGCTTCATCATTAAACCATTTGAGATTCCTTAACCCAAGGCCTCCTCATCTTTTAGGAGAACACACTCTTCTCCAGTTCATTAAATGCAATGGTTTTTTACCACTATTATTATTCCACAAAAAAATTCTCTGGGTTTTTTTCAATCTCTTCAATAGTGTTATTGGGAATCATAAATGACCTCATAATGAATTGCGGCATCATGGAGGTCATGGAATTCAACAAAGTCAGTCTTCCTGCTATTGACAAAGTATTTTTCTTCCATCCAGTCAGTCTTTTACATATTCTGTCATTAACAAACCGAAATGTGTTTTTGGTGATCCGAGAGTTAATGATTGGGGCCCCCAAATAAAAATTTGATTCAGATTGCATAGGGAGCTTAAGAATCCAAGCTAGCATTTTCTAAAACCTATTTGGGACATTATTAGAAAATTGGATGGTTGACTTATTGAAATTTGGGCTTTGTCCAGATGCCCTAGAAAACTCTGTAAGTATTTCTTTAATCCTCAAGCTTGTAGAAATTGTAGGCTCAACTAATATAATACAATTGTCATCAAACTAAAGAATAGGAATTTTAGGAAAATCTTTAGCAACTCTACATCCAATTGGGTTCCTAGGAAGATCAACTTCTTTTCCAAGTTTTCTGGTTAAGGCCTCAGCGCACAAAACAAAAATGTAAAGAGAAAGCGGATCACCTTTTCTTATTCCCTTAGTTAGGATAATCTCTCTGGTAGGAAACCCATTAATCAATATTTGATAGGACACAGTTTTGATGCATTCCATGACCCACCCAATTCACTTATCATGGAAACCAAATTTCCTAAGAATTTCTTCAATGAAGCTCCATTCCAACCTATCATAGGCTTTCTCCATGTCAATTTTACAGGCCATGATTCTTTTTCTCCCTTTTTTTCTTTCTCATAGTGTGGAACATATCATGAGCAATTAAAATAGGGAGAATGACTGATCAACCCAGCTCAGAATTCTTAGCCCCACCATACAGGGGGGATGAATCCTGATCGTGGATTGATGCCAAATCCATAGGTAGGATGCGATTTATAGGGGGCTACTGGTAGACTATGGGAGGTTGTAATTTCAGAATTCTGCATTGGGCTACAGTGTACTTCTCCCATTAAAATATTATCATTTACTTGTCTATTGGTAACAAAAGCACTTTGGAATGGTGAGACAATATTTTCAAGGATTGGTTTTATTCTTCTCACCAGAATTTTTGTGATCACCTTGTAGGTCACATCGCATAGACCGATTGGTCTATAGGTATTCACCTTTTCAGGATTTCCATTTTTTGGAATTAATGTAATGAAGGTCTTATTTAGAATGGGGCACAATCTCCATGTATGGAAGAAATTCTTAACTGTCTCGCAAAAATCTCCTTTAATAATGTTGCAAAATTTTTTAAAGAAAAGAGCATTAAGCCCATCAGGATCCATGGCTTTAAGATCTCCAATGGACAGGAGGGCTTCATAAATTTCTCTTTCTGTCACATCCTTAATAATGTTCTTATTCTACTCTTAAGAAACATTCTTGCTGATTTCCTCGATGAAACCCCTAACTCTATACGTCCCTTCACTATTAAATCTTTCCTTAAATTCTTGACAAAAACACTTTGCAATTTGACTGTAATCTTTGATTTTTCACTCCTCTATTAGTAATACAAGTGATTCTATTTCTTGCTTTCCTAATCGTATCCGAAACTTTAAAGAATCTGATATTCCAATCCCCAAGTTTAATCCAGTCAATTCTACACTTTTGAGCCCAATAGGCCTCTTCCCTCCTTAAGGTGTTATTTAATTGCTTCTGTAAGGCCTTTTTCATGATTATTCAAAGCTCTGTCCTTATCCTCATTATCCAGCCTCACTTGAACCTTTCCTAAAGCACTAACATTTTCTTGTTTTTTCTTGAATATATTGCCAAAGTGCATTCTATTCCAAATCTTAAGATCAACCACTAATCTATTTCTTTTTTAATAAATTTAATAGCTCTTGAACCACTAGCTTCAAACTTTCAATCTTGGTTAACTATTTCTTCCAACTTTGGGTTGAGGCACCACATTGCCTCAAACCTGAAAGGTTTCGGCCCATAATTCTGAAGACCATTAGTTACCAACAACAAAGGAGAGTGATCCGAAGCCATGAGTGGGAGGTTCTTGAGGATGGCTTCAGGAAAGAGGATTCTCCACTCCTCATTAACCACAACCCAATCCAACCTCTCCCATATTGATTTATTTTTCAACGTAAAAGGATTACCTTTGTTTCAATTTCCATTAGCTCATAGTGAAAAATAAGATCATTAAATTCCCTACACTGACTAGGTTTTACTTCTCTACCTCCCCTCTTATTTTCACTATCCCTTGCGGAATGAAAATCTTCTATAAGCTTCCATGGTCCATTCGAATTATTAGCTATTTCTCTAATCCAATTCCACACAATTTTTTGTTCCATTTTGTTTGGGGTCGCATAGACAAAGGTGTAATTCCAAGATCGATTAGAGGAAGCATCTTTTATGTTGACATGATGAACTTTTCTATTATTAGTCAAAATGACTTGGATATTACAAGTATTTTTGTTCCATAAAACCCATAAACCCCCGAAGAAACCCATTGAATCCACAATTTCAAAGTTCTTAGAAGGAAATTCTTTAATTATCTTTCTAGCTCTATTTGGATTAACTCTTGTTTCTATTAAAAATTTGATATCAACTTTATAATCTCTAATTATCTACATGACCTGTCTTTGGAGGTAGGCTCTTCCTGCCCCACAAACGTCCCAACTAAGTATTTGCATTGTTAGTGGTAGTCTTGCTCAGACCTTTATTGTCTCCTTCCAACTTAGCAATTTCAAAGTTCAGCGTCTCCATGTAGGACATATTTTTTCCTTCGTATTCCTTCATGGGTTCCCCTTTAGTAATCAGTTGTTGATCGTTCCGGTCCTCCATCAAATCATCATCCTCTCCATCATCCGCTTCAGGATTTCCTTCAGCTTCATCTTCCATCAACTTAATAGAATAATCATTTTTACCTTCATGTTTATCATCTTGCATTTCAAAGGGATTAGCAATAACTTAAGAATTTTTGAAAAAAGTTTTTTCCTGTCAATTTCAACACTAAATCTGGGCGAGATATTACTCACTTGTGCTCCTTCCATCTATTTCTTTTTCTGAATCCATTTTGGATTGAGCCACGATTTGCTTTGAAGGCTCATGGAGGCATGACCAGCATAGATGAATTTAGTTCTAGACTTCACTCTCACCACTTCAATTCTAAAGTTTTTAACTTGAGACCATTGGTCCTTTTTTGCATTCCGATGTTTATCTCTACGCCTATCTACATGTTTGTTATTTTGGTATCTTGGGTTAAATAACACCTTTTGATGTTTCCTTCTGTTTTAAACTAAAGTCTATCCCTCATTAGTGTTATTCTTGTTCTTTGGGCAATCCTTGTATTTATGCCTTCTCCACCCATAGTTAATGCACAAATTGAATATATTCTCACAAAACACCTGATATGGTCTATGATCCGGGCCCAATTTGGTCAATCTAACCTTACCAATCAACCTAGAATGCTTAAAAACCCTACCCTATGAAATTTCAACAAAAAACACCCTTGTTTGCCCCCCATCACATAAAGATTCTATTTCGAAGCTCTAAATCGACCGAATCCTTCACCCTTCCAGATTTTCCTGATCCGGGCCCAATTGGGCCAATCTGACCTTATCAATCAACTCAGAATGCTCAAAAACCTTACCCTACCAAATTTCTATAAAAAACACCACTATTTACACATCCATCTAAAACGACTCCATTTCGGTCAATCTTACTAGCCTGCACACACAAAACCTCTCTCCGCGGTTAGACCCATCTCAACCCTTTGATCTTTGACCCAAAAATCCATCCATCCATCAAAGAACCCCAGTTTAACCCCTGGACCCGTTTTCACCCAAATATTTCCAAATTACAAAAATACCCCTCAAAACCCCCAAAATTACGAAATTGCCCTTAACCCTACATATAGATCGAACCTAATGTTTTGAATTCTGGGGAATCCATGGCTTACCATTGTCTTCCGTCCATTCAACTCCCCTCACCAATTTATTCTCGTTCTCTTCCGTCCATTCAACTCCATCTCTCTTTTTTTGTTCTTGTTTTCTTCTCTTTTTCTTTCTCTTTTCCTTCTTTTGCCCCCCTRTTTTCGTTTCTCAACCACCGCTGTTGCAACTCTCGACAGCGGCGGTTTGGCCTCCCCATCTCCCTCTTCTTTGATCTCTTCTGCCCATCGTTTTCTCTCATTTTCCTCTCTTCTCCCTCCCTCTCACTCACGTACTTCTATCTCTCCTTCATTCTTTCTGTATCTCTTACCCCTGTTTCGTCACCGCCAATTGTAGTTCGTTATAGTGATAGGTCTGAACCTCTCTCACTTTCTTCTTTTCTCCCATTCCTCTCCCTCTCTCTTTGCCCGTCTACTCTCTCTCTCTCTCTCTTCATTACCTCCGTCCATATTACCCAGTTGATCACCATTTCCCCTCCCGTCTCCATTTTCTTTGTCGATTGAACAGAACTGATTGCAGCAAGCGTCGCCTGCTCTCATCATTAATACCAGAAGCCCTAGCTGGAGTCGATCATAGTAATCGTCGTTCGAAATGCTATTCTTCTCAATTTTAAGCAAACTTCAAGGCGGTGTTTATTGGGATCTGTGAGTGGCATTGATTAGATCGGAGCCAAAATCAGACCATAGGCAACCATGATAGCTGTCACTTGAGGTTCTTCTGCTCGTTTTCAAGCTAACTTAAAAGCGTAAATCATTCTCTTCATTGGTTTCTCAAGTTCAATCTCAGTCATCCTCTTTGTTCCAAGACGAGTTGTCTGAACGAAGTCTTCTCTGTGCATCATCCGTGTCAAGGCTGAAATCCCATAAGGTAGATTCTGTCAATGTTTCCTCCATGTTTTATTTTTTATCCTTCTATGTACATTGTTAGGGAATCAGGTTTGCAATAGGGTCGACGGAGCTGGTGATGAGGATTTACCGAACCAGCTCCTATAGACTCTCGACGTAGACCCGACCCCATAACTGTCTTTTTGCGTCGTGTTACTGGTTTCCTAATCTTGTGACTGCTATCTGTATTATGAAAAGAGGTATATGCTCAAATGTTTTTAAGAGATTATCGACTCTTGCTTGCCGTGTTCTTCTTTGATATTGTTACTGTTCGAGCTAGTGTTCTATAGGCCCTGCCTTTTAAGAGATAACCGACTCTCGATGCATACACACTGAGTTGTCTCCAAATTCCTATTAAGGATGATGAAGTGGCGGAAGGTCCCTTTGCCAAAATGTAGTAGAGAGCACTTTAAATGGAGTGTTGTAGCTCGAAGGTGAAGGAGAAAGGAGAAGAAAAACCTGCCGGAAGAGAAAACAAGTTAGGGAAAGCAGAWGGAAACAAATAAAGAAAGGAAAAGTAGAATGAATCTTACAGAGATTCGAGTTAGAGAGAACCTTTGTTTTGCAGAGTGAGAAACTTAGAGTTGGAGCGAGCAATGCGGGAGAGAGAAGAATCGACAAAGGAGGAAGATTGGGCATGGGCTTGGATCTGCTCACAACATAATACTTTTCCATCACGTTTCAACATGATCTGCATCCGCACATCTTACCAAGGTGGGTCCCAGTCTTAGGGGCACTAGGCTTGGGTGCATTAATAAGTGGATGGAATCCATCTTACCAAGGCAGATTTTATGCAAAATAGAAGAAGATCAATCACGGATGGAAATCAGACACTAYAAACCATTGATTAATGAATCAGAAATAACTCCTATTGGATGATGCAATGAAGATTTTGATTTGACAATGCAGTTTGACAGCTTAATAATTAATGGTTTTATTTATTTTTTATTTTCTATAGGAGGGTTTATTCTTGTCAACAAGGGGAAAACACTAGATTCATAAGCAAGGAATATTAGCCAAGTGAAAGAAGGAACATAATCTAGCTAAAATGTACTTGTTCCTTAGTTATGCATGGAATCAAATATTCAAAAGAGATAGTTTCTTAACTTTTGAAGGACATAGTAGATAAAGTGAGTGTCCATTGATGTGTTTATAGTGTCTGGTTTCCATCTGTGATTGATCTTCTTACTTCTAGTTTGCATAGAATCCACCTTGGTAAGATGGATTCCATCCACTTATTAATGCACCCGAGCCTAGTACCCTTAAGACTGGGAACCAACTTGGTAAGATGTGCGGACACAGATCATGTTGGAAAAGTATTCTGTTGTGATTAGATCTGGGCCCACGCCCAACCTTGTAACCCTTTCTTCTTCCTTTGTTGATTCTTCTCTCTCCCACCCTGCTCACTCCAACTCTAAGTTCTCACTCTGCAAAACAAGGGTTCTCTCCAACTCGAATCTCTGTAAGATTCGTTCTACTTTTCCTTTCTTTATTTGTTTCCACCTGCTTTTCCTAACTTGTTTTCTCTTCTGCCAGGTTTTTCTTCTCCTTTCTCCTTCATTTTCAAGCTACAACACTCCATTTAAAGCCCTCTCTGCTGCATTTTGATGAAGGGTGCCGCTTTCCGCCACTTCATCATCCTTAATAGGAATTTGAAGACGACTTAGTCGAATCACTCAGATTCACATCTAAACAGGTGTGTTTGCCCTTTTTCGAAGAAACCCTAATTAGTAATGGTAATGGTGGTGATTCATCTCTACATGCTATCTTTAATGCCAATTTATCTATTCCCAATTCATGACCTGGTTTGGAAGAAACAAATAAAGGGCCTAATGGGGTCATTTTGTTTTTGATCAGCACCTAATTTGAAAATCATTGTGCTGTTTTTTGACCTTGGTTTTCATTTTCCAGAACAAAAAACCCTAGTGAAGTCGGTAAGACATTTTTTTTTTATTGTTTACTACTTATATACGCTATTTGCTAATCTAATCATGGAAAGAAATCCAAATAACTCAAGTGTTTTCCAAATTTTTTTTTTTTCTGTTTTGTATACAATGGTTAAGTAGTTAGTAATCCATGCGATTCTTTATTACTTTTTGATCACTTCCTGTCCTAGATTTGTAAATTCGTTTTGAATAAATGAAGTAAAAAGATCCTAGAGTTTCTTGAATTTGGGATTTTGTTACATGGAAGATATACATATCTCATCATAATATTGAAAGAATCAATAAATGAAAATTGAAGAAATGTGGTGTAAAGATTCTTTTGTTGGACAAACCATTTCCTGAAACTTGATCTAGTTGGTTGGTGAATCCTTTTCCAACCTTTATTCTTGGTTCAAGGTTCAGATTGTTTTCTGATGTGGTCAAGCAACATGCAAACCATTTTACAGGATCTTTTTAATTAAAAAAAAACAGAATCTTGGGTGGTTATTGGTTAATGTTACTTGAGGAAAATCTCCTGTTGGCCGTATTGGAGACTAGGCATCAGTTATTGCTTTTGTAAGAGCTGGGGGATTTTCCTAGAAAAGAGTCCTCTATCTGAAAGACAGCTTCAGTTGCTCGCCTATCCATCCAAAAGAATCCATATTAATTGTCTCCACAACACCTACCTAAATATAAGATTGGGCCTGGGGGAAGGAGGTTACTTGGAGCCTTGGACCTATCTAGCTTGAGTTTGGCCTGGCTCAAGTTCTCACCCCCACACTACTTATGCATGCTGAATGAGTTCCCTATCAAAGTGGCCCATGCCTGCCTTGTACGACTACAAGCATGGATTTGGGCCCACATTATTGAAAAGGGAGAGAGAAGCACACATTCATATGAGCCTATGGAGAATTGCATCATTATGCTATTCTAGGCCATGCAATGTGTTCTGCCCTTTAACTTGCGCATTAGCATCTCCACTTCTTGGGTTCTTTTGGTGAGTGACACCCTCACATTTCACAAGTCACACCATGCCAAGTTTATTAGCAGCAGATGTAATGGATCCAATGAAAGCTAGGTGTAATCATACTCAAAAAATATAGAAACCAGCAGGAAATAACAGCAATTAGAGAACAGAAATAAGAGAAAAAAGGGAAAAGAACAGAGAGAAAGAGAAGAAATAAAGGGCCGATTGGGATCAGTTGATCACTCCTGTCCCAGTTGGCTAATATTTATAGAGTTCTAAGGATATGTAGAATGGCTATTGTCTCATTATAGTCTATTCCCTGGTTGAAACTCTATTTTGTTTGTCTCTTCTGTACCATTTTGGCATTTTGTGAGACTTGTACTAGATGCACAACACATAATGTACACACTTTGTACTTATTTATTTATTTATTTTTATGTGGAGCTACAGAGAAGAGAGGGGGCCTACTGTTGATTTGGAAGGCTGCTATTGCTGATATGTCAATGGGGAGTGATACGACTTGGGTTGGAAAGAAACCTCTTAGGCGCCTAGGAGGGATGTCTGATGCATTGTCTCTTGCAGCTGATCTTGGTTTTTCAGTTTCTCCTCCTTCCCAAGTATAAACATTTTTCTTATATATTTCTCTTTCTTCATATTGTCCTTATGCACTTTTTTTTTGATAAATATTGTCCTTTTGCACTTTCTTTACATCTATATGGATTAGTAGCAAATTGGTTTGCTTTTCTACTATATGATATTTTGTTTCAATGTAGTTTGGGCATATAAACTTCATTTGTTTCCTCACCCCAGATGTGATGTAGGATGATTATGTCTCACAGGTGAACCTTGGAAGGTATTGATTGGCTAGAAAAGAGTCTAGGGATGGTTTTAGTACTACTAGTAAGGTTAAGAGGTGTTAAAAAAGTTCTGGGACATTTCTAAGAGCTGCTGAATCTTTGTGGGACAGTAGAAAAATAAAAAAAATAAAAAACTAAGCATAGGGATGGAATTTTTTAATAAAACTTTATATAGATGTTTAGAATGATGGATTTTATAAGATGGTTTAATTTGAAAAACTTTTTGAGTAGCATTTTTTAGAAAAATATGAAAAAAAGGTTCTTTGTTAGAGAAGGTGCCAAAAAAACTAGGGTTTTAGATTGAATGTTGCAATGTAATTTGGTAGGACTAAAGGGGATAAAGATCCTGGGGCATCCAAATATGAGGGCAAAAGAGATGGTTTGACATGAAAGGATGAAATTGGCTGAAATGAGAAAATTTTGGATTTTTATATAAGCCAAAGAAAAAAGTGCCTGGATCAGTTTCAATTTTTTAGGGATGTTGAGTGAACTCATTTAATGAAGAATTTTTGGTCTTTTATGGCTTTAAGGTCTTCTTGTAGAATTAGGGAGAAAATAGAAAGAAAACCTAGAATCCATCTATCAAAAGAAGAAAGAAAACCTAGAATCATTTAAACAAGTCCARTTAAATCATTCCTTCACGTTTTTGCTCTTGGAGGTGATGTGGGCATCATGATGGCCCTAAAATCAACCTAGACTTATTTTGGATCTGTTTGAATTTTGTGTTTTTTGACAATTTATCTGTTTTAGGGATATTTTGGTAATTATACATTTTTCTAGTGGATTTACATGTTTAATGTGATAGTTATTTTATAAGTCTTATTTACCTTGTGTTTAAAGTTTCATATTTATATTGGTAAGTATAATATGAATTATATTGCTTCTTTGGCCGAAGCTTAATAGTGGCGATTTTGTAATTTGGTTGAACGGTAATCTGACGCTTATCATGTAAACCATATTTTGGACAGAGAATGAATTAAAAGTGATTGTTTTTGAGAGCCTCTGCATTGGTGGGCTATTCAACCCATCTACCTTCAGGTGGCCTAAGAGAAGGGGGAGAGTGTTGTGGAGATGTGCTAGGGCTGCTTTGGTTTGGACAGTGTGGGAGGAAAGAAATGCTAGGATTTTTAATGACAGAGAGGGATGTGGATAATGTATGGAGCTGCTTTATGAACAGGGCAATCAACTGGGCTAAAGCTTTGAATCTAGTCTCACAATTCTCCTTTGAGGACCTTTGGAGAAACTGGGGATTGGTTGCTAATTCTTCATCGATTAAGAATAAACCTTTAGCAGTCTGGAAGCCTCCTGAAGAAGGCTTCATCAAGCTGAACTTCGATGGTAGTTGTTTCAGTAATCCGGGACCCTTTGGTGTTGGAGGATTTTTTAGGAATGCGGAGGGTCAGATTATTGCATTATTTTCTGTAGGGCTGTTCATAAGAAGACCCAACCCGACCAAACCGACCAATCTGGACCGACCCAACCCGAGTCGGCTGGGTTTTCATCAGCACGGGTCAGTTTCGGGTTGTGCAATTTCCTAAACCGATGATTCGGGTTGGTTTTGGTTTTCACACAAGAAAACCGAAACCAACCCGAACCGAACCGACTTAGTTCCTAGTTCAAACATGAAGTTCCAAAGCCCATTAGGCCACCTAGTTTTTGAATGGTTGCAAGAAACTTTGGATTAGTGAATAGTGATTAATGAACAACTTTTGTGATTTTTTCATTTAAATTTTATCATAGGAGATGGCTGAAATGATGTTCAATTTATGACTATTTTTAAAATTAGCCAAGATTTTATCACAGGGATGAACTTAGAACCGAAACTGACCCAAACCGACCCAACCCAACTCAAACCGACCAGGTCGGTTTTGCTTAACACTGGGTTGGTTTCGGTTTCTATGTCAGGTTACCCGACCAGGTTGGGTCGGTTGGAAAAACCACAGTAAACCGACCCAACCCGACCCGTGAACAGCCCTAATTTTCTGGCCCAATTGGAGTGGGGAATGCAGTTAATGCAGAGGTTCAAGCAGTTTTTTAGGGAGCACAGCTTGCTAGAGAACTGAACTTTGGGAACCTGCTGATAGAAGGCGACTCTAAACTTGTAACTAGGTGGCTGAAGGAAACAGAGACTGTAGCCTGATGAGAAGATTCAAGTGGCTAACTTCCAACATAACAGGGAGAGTTCTGTGGGAGAGGAGATCAGCTACTGGGCTGGCAGATTCTCTAGGCAAGGGGTGTTTAGGGAACTTCCATATTGTAATTCTCTTTTCTCTTTGATGCTGCAGCTTGCACCTCTTGGAACTTCCATATTGTATCCACTGATAGTTTCTTCTTAATATTATAAAATTCCACTTATCACTCGTAAAGAATGTTTGTTTTTGAGGAGTAAATGTCTTCCTAGTACTTTTTTTTTTTCAAATGTGAACCTCCCTTTTTCTCTCTTTTTACATTCTCTCTTTTTTGTTAATTCTCTATTACAAGTTTAACCAATTAGTACCTCTTCTATCTCTTCACAAGGTTTCAAATCACTCCTTAGGACTCTTTGAATAATTTTAAGTTATCCCCTTTCAATTTCCTTAGCTTCAACTTTTCCTGGGTTTTCTTCTTTGGGAAAATTGTCTTTTTATGTAAGATTGACTTAGTGATTTAAAAGGCGCACCTAGGTGGTGCTCAGGCGAGGTGCATTTTAAGGTATGTGCCTCGCCTAGGTCCTAGGCACAACCCTTTCAAAAGGCGTGTGCCTAGTGTGCCTTGCCCTTCAGACCAGGTGTGTGCCTTTTWAATTTTTTTGCTAATGTTGTTCATTCATTCATCCTAGTAAAATATCTTCTTAAAAGACAAATAATATTATAATATCATTTATTTTTGTGTAAGGATTAAGAATTTAAGACTCTCAGGTAGTAACGAGGTGGCTTCTAAACCCGGATACTACCATTTGGGGCTACAAAGATCTCATCAAAAAAGTAAAGTGGTTAACCAACAATATGAGAGTTGAGGTAAAATGGGTTAGCAGGTCTGCCAATTCTATGGCTGATTCTTTAGCCAAACAGGGGGTTTACAGGGAAGATCTTTTTTCTGCTAATTTGTAATTATTAGTAATCTGGAAATTTGTACTTAACTAGCCCGGAGAGGTTGCAACTCGTGCCTCCTCGGGGACTTTGTACTATTGTCTATTGCTGATTAATAAATTTATTTTAATTATAAAAAAAGGATTAAGAATTTAAGACCTTAACATGGATTTATTTGGGCTTGCCTCAAGGGGCTTGGTACAAAGGCGGCTCGTAGAATCAGGAGTGCAATATGTTTTACATCACATTAGCTATTTGAAGTAATGCAACTGAGGAGAAAAAGAGATTGTTGGTTTTACATGCTTGAAACTGTTTTATATGTTTGATTTTATTTTTAAAATTTCATTTGAATGTGCTTTACATGTTATGTTTATGTATTTTAATTTTAGATAATAGGTTCTAAAACATTTATTTTAAAATTTAAGTTTATATTTTTTGTTAATATTATGTTTAATATGTTTTTTGATTTTTTTTTTTAAATTTTTGTGACATTTTTTTAATTTTTTTGGCATTTTTGTATTTTTCACCTTGCTTCAAAAAGGTGTGTGCCTCACTTTGCACCTTGCCTCTTGGGCGCAGATTGACCCGTGCGCTTTTTTTCCACCTTGCACTTTTAAAACGCTGCATCAACTTAGATACCTTTCAATTCAATCTTCCATTATTTTCTATTCCGATCCATCATACCAGTTCAGTCTTCCGTTCTTTCTTATGGAGGGGAACTTTCTTCCTTTTTGTGCCAAAAGTACTCAGAACCTTTTCAAATTAATTTACCCTTGCTCCATTAATCAATCCTCTAAATTTCATATAAAAATTCCATGCCTAGAGCAGCTGGTGGTGAATCTGACAGATTGTGAATTTGACTTAAAGAACCTTTATAGGTCAAGTCAGACATCTTAGAGAGCTCCAGTAAACTCTCCTAATGGTGCAATTTATCTCCTTGAGTCATTCCTTTGAGTTTCAACCACCTAGTTCCCAGAAGAACATACTGTCCTACATCGGTCCGGTATTAAAGCAAATCTTGGTAAATTATGAAACTAATATGCCTATATATCCAAAGATAACAATAAACTGAACTTGATGTTTTTATCCATGCTTATGCGGAGGAAATGACTAAGCATCATAAACAGTCTTACGGCATCTCATCCTGTAGCCAGTGTTAGGGTATGGGTATGAGATGGATAAAGGGCTGAAGCTTGATGTGGCAGATGATTTTGCAGACAGCAATCCTGAGGTATTAAAAGATTGGATTCATAGCTTAGAGAGTTATTTTAAGTGGTATATGCTTGTGGAAAACCAGATTTGTCATGCTTTTCAAAGCAAAATTGTGGGTTGCTGCAAGTGTTTGGTGCTTTAAACAAATGGACATCCTCAGAAGGCTGATTACATAGTAGAACGTGGGACAATATTATGCCTTAATATGATTTTTTTTTTAAAATATGAAGCATGCCTTTAGGAAGTCCCCATTATGGTCATTGTATGAGATGATTGTATTGGCAAAAAATTTTTACCGACTTTGTAATACCTTTTTTTTATTTTAATAAAATTTCTTTCCTTGTTTTACTATAAAACAAAATGGAGTATGCTTTCCTACAAAACCTTTGTAGTTGTCAACCACAAACAACAAGCTCATTAGGAACTTGTGCAATTATGCCAAAATAATGTGTCAATACTTAAAATAGAAGAGTTTGCAAC